ACACACACACACACACATACACACATACACACATACACACACAGACAAGGGTAATGGCGTGCATACATATTAGTGTGGCCAAGGTCAAGGCAGGGTGGGTTTTGTTTCTCATGTAAGACGGATAGACTTGGTCGCCCTGCAGAATAAGACGTCGTGTTCCTAGTTGTTCCTGCCAATCATCTCTCTCTATATCTCTATCTCTCTCACACACACACACACACACACTCTCTCTTTCTTTTACTTGTTCTTATTCTTTTTCCTCAGTTCTGTCAGCTTAATGTAGTGCCTCATATTAATCTCATGAACCGCATCGTGTGTGTATGTGTGTGTGTGTGTGTGTGTGTGTGTGTGTGTGTGTGTGTGTGTGTGTGTGTGTGTGTGTGTGTGTGTGTGTGTAGATTTTCTACGTTATAAGTGTCTTTTAGCAAATATTTTAATAGGTTTCACAATATGTTTACCTGTAACCCTTTGAACTAGGATACAGTAGAAATGGGTCCGATTGGATCTGGACCCCATTAGGTGTTTGGACCCATTAAATCTAGAGCCTATTAGGAGACTGAAAAAACAAAAAAATAAAAACAACAATTAAATGGTGATGTTGTTAGTAGTAATTCTTGAACATTGAACATTTTGAAGGAGAGACTTACTTACCCTTCTTGGTCTAGGTAGTGATGTACCAGTATAATGAGCGACTTTCTCCTGATCTCAGCTCGCTTGTCCGCCTGGCAGGAGAGAGAGAGAGAGAGAGAGAGAGAGAGAGAGAGAGAGAGAGAGAGAGAGAGAGTCATTATTATTGTTAGAGTTATCATTATTTATCTTCTTAAAGTGTCATTCATCGTCATAATTATCTTAATCATTAGCATTATTTTCATTACCTTTAGCTTTGTTGTTATTATTATAGTTGTCAACATTTCATAACTAAGACCTAGTTAACGGTGCTTAATAACCCTGGTAATTGAAGCACCTAAAATTAAGACTTAATAAACGGTGCTTATTAACTCCAGCAGGTAAAGTGTAGGTGATTAATGAAGTTAGTTAATTACCTTTCAACTTTACAGTCAACCGGGTGTAGGGAATAACAGACTGACAACAATGTTTTTCAATAATAATTAGTGTATCACCAGCCATTAACTACAAACAATGTGTGTGTGTGTGTGTGTGTGTGTGTTGACAACTCAGTGTACTAAGGGTGTGGCAACTTTTGATATGACTCACATACAAACCTCCTCTTTCTTTCTATTCTCTCACTTTCTCTCTTCACTCTCTCCCCTCACCTTCACTCCCTACCCCCCCGTGATTATTCCCTTTCGTCCTCATTAAAGGCAGTTGTTTGCCTCGCGTGTTAATCTGTTCCATTCTCCATAAGACGCACATGTACGCACACACTCTCTCCTTTCCCATCCCCTTCTTTATCAGCGTACACAATACGCAGATCTACACCCACATTATGCAGTTACACATTAGCATGTATGGACAGACAGAAGTTCGTGCACACACACACACACACACACACACACACACACACACACACACACACACACACACACAGCACCAACACACTGCAGAGGTGACAAGCCAGCTGACCAGACCTGGTAATTCTCTCGTTCGTTAACTAGGTGTATGTGCAGTAAGAAGATAATCTGACACCATAAAGTTAAAGGCAGTGGATTATCTCGAATAAGTGCTTCCTGGAGGGCGTGGCTGGTGATGGTGGAGGACGTGGGTGGTGTAGGAGTGCCTCCATCTAGGCGTGGGTGGGCGTTTAGGGCGTGGGTGTGGGCGTGGGGTCATCAATACCGGTAAGTGTGACCCACCTGGCATGGGGGGAGTAACAAGGCAGGCAGCAGCATGTGTATATCTCCCCCTGTACCTCCACCAGGACCACCAGCACCTCCATCACCAGCACACGTTCCTACCCCTCCTCCACCACCTCTCTGGGGGGGTAGAGCTGAGGGAGGGAGGCAGGGAGGCAGGGAACTAGAGGGATTAGTAATAATTGAAGAGAAGCAACAGTAGGATTATGTTTCAGTCAGAAGATGAACGAGTCATTTGATTTTATGTGTTGTGTAAAAAAAAATAGATTCAAAGAGAACAAATTTGTTGATACTTGACGAACTGTTTCAGAATTAGTCACTAAAACTCTGATCTAGTTTTGTTAGAAATAATTTAAAGATCTTATATATTTGTGTCTGGACAAAATATCTAGGGAATGGATTTTCATGAAACTTGCTGAAAGGTTTATCTGTGAATTAAGAAAGTGAATGTAGGTCAAGAGCTGCCAGGTCAAAGATGTGGGCGTGGCAGGTGTAAGGGAGCTGAGTCTATGTTCCATTTATTCCAAGTTTTGCATCAAATTTTATTACATGAATCTGTTACAGGGTTACTTGTATTTTACACCTTTCTTTAAACGTATTAACTTGAAGCTTTTCTAATGTAGTTTAACTGTATATTTTTCTTAATACAATATTCCTCCTTTATAGTAAGTTTTCCCTTACCTGGTATATAAACATTATTGTCATTGAAGGATAATCATATCCTCAGTTTACTTTACGTGTGACCTGAAACGCGACATAAGAGTTGGATCACCACAGATGACAAAATCGAACCGAATTACAAAGATTTATCATTCCTGTAATCTGATTCCGCAAATAACACGTAAGATCGATTTTGAAATGATAAATGAGTAATAGTTAATCTCAATTACTTAAATAACCGCATTTGTGATTTTATATAATGGTGTGTTAATGTGTTATAGCGGGGTAGAAGTGGTGGTAGTTTAGTGACCATTGTTGAGAGGGTTATAGTTAAGGAGTAACCCCGTTTTAATAGACCAAAATACAACTATTTGTTTTATTAAGATTTCGTTATTGTGATTGAATGGTTGTGAGGTGATTTATTTTTGTGATTGAGTGTCCTACATCCTCTTGTATTAACCAACTTCGTATAAAGTAAGTGAAAATCTTTATTGGTTTATGATTCGACATATAATAAAGTGTGTGTGTGTGTGTGTGTGTGTGTGTGCTGTAAGTCAGAGTTCAGAGCGACTCATGGCTGAATTAGTCATGTGATTTATTGATTTATTTAATTCAAAGTTGGTCATGGTGAGGTTAGTGTGTGTAAGTGTTGTGTGCTTGTTAAGTACACACACACACACACACACACATACACACACACACAGTCGTCTACTCACCAGCTCCTTGGCTTGGCTGGCCGCCCGTAAGGACTGAAGAGACAGGTGATTGGATGACATCACGCATCTGTAAAAAGCAAAGAAAAGTTAAGAATATAAATCATAAAATAGATGAGCAAATGTGTAACGAAGGTAAAAGAATAAATTTTAATAAAGGTAAAAAAAATAAGTAAAAATAAAAAATAAAATAATAAAGGTAACAATTAACAGTAAATCAAATATAATAAAAATATAAAAATAACTAAATAAAAAGTTAAAAAAAAAGTAAATGTTAAAAGAAATAAAAATTCATAATGAAACAGAAGGTAAAAAAAGTAATAATAATTTATGTTAACTAAAATTAGAGGTGAAAAAACTAACAGTAAAAAAAAATATATGATAAAGTAAATGTTAAATACTTATGCGTTAGTGGGGGGCGCCTGGCTTGCATGGGTCGGCGGGGGTGCAGTGGGAGGCCCGTGGTGTGAGCGGGCTGGGGGCACAGGAGAAAAACTCTCTCATTAAACCAGTCAGTGAGTCAATGTGAGCCAGGAGATATGGTACACACACACACACACACACACACACAATTAGCAGACGTACATAGTTAGACAGTTAGACACAGCGGCCGTCCTACTACACAAGTTACCCCACTACACTGGGTTACACATCAACCTACAGTACACCATAAAATTTCAAGTTATTTTTGGACATCTCGTAAATCTCACTCCGACGCCTCAGAGCCATTTGTAATCAAGATCTTTGCTTGAAAGGAATTTTTAATTACACTGACGCTGGCTGAAAAAAAAAAGAACATGACTTTTTACTGAAATTTAATTAGAGAGAAAATGTATTAAACCCAGACAAAAAGTAACAAGGGCGAGGAGGATTTTTTTTATTTATTTTTTCTTCATAAGCTGCGGTAGAGGGGAGAGCTAGGCAAACGATGACCTCAGGGTGCATCGAGGAGTCCAGACTGGGAGGAGAGCGGGAGGAGGAGGAGAAGGAGGAGACCGACCCCATCTCCCTCCTTCCTTGTTAAAAAAAAATTCTTTCAGTGGATCAGTCAGTCAGTCAGTTTGTCAGTCAGTCAGAAAGTTAACCAATTAGTTAGAGATAGGTCAGGTTAGACTAAATAAGGTTAAAAATATATGGGGTTAGATTTGAATAGATTACAGTAGGTTATGGTTGGGTTAGGTTAGGTTAATTTTACGCTATGTTAGGTAAGATTACATTAGTCAAGGTTAGGTTAGCTTAGGTTAGTTAAGAATATGGAATGTTAGGTTCCAAGACCAGCTCTAGTGGGGGTTCGAAATTCCTCGTATGAAGACACAAACTTCCGCGAATTGTACAACAGCGTCGAGAGATACAACGTTAATGGTGTCTCGGTGGTTCCTGGAGTGTGAGGAAAGAGGGGGGGGGGGGGGGGGGGGAGAAAGAGAGAGGGAGATGACGTTGTTGAGAGAAGGGGAAGAGAGAAATGGGAGGGAGAACGAGAGGAAGTTGTAGAAATAGGAGAGAGAGAGAGAGAGAGAGAGAGAGAGAGAGAGAGAGGGAGAGTACTACCAGAATATAGGTCAAGTCTAACAATAATTAAACAGCTGCAGGACTGACATTTCTAAACCAGACGAAGTTTATCTTTTCTGTTAAATGTCTGGCTGTCTGATGTTCGTAGAAAAGAAAGAGTGACAGCAGTGGAGAGAGAGAGAGAGAGAGAGAGAGAGAGAGAGAGAGAGAGAGAGAGAGAGAGAGAGAGAGAGAGAGCAGGATTGGTAAAAGCTTGGAGGAAAATGGAATGAAAGTGTGGTATTATTAGATAATGCTGGAGAGATGTGGGAGGGAAGCAAGCATTAGGAATTGTCATGAAAAGGAAGGGGAGAATTGGAGAGGATTTAGTGGGAAGGGAAGGGAAAGGTTGCCAAGAAGGAAAAATTAGAAAAGATTTAGAGGAAGGGGTTTCTTGATTTATGGGTCGGTATCATGGAAGGGAGGGGTATAATGGAAAGGGTTGAGACTTAAATGACATGGGAAGGACGTGTATGGAGGAACGGGTGAGATAGAATGTCTCATGAAAGTATAGGGAAAAGAAAGTTACTGATACTGAGACCCCCAAAAAATATTATGGCGTGAGAAGTTGGAATAGGAACTTGGAATGAATGTAGGTGGAATGAGTGATAAAAGGAGGAAGAGAAGCGCTTGAAGGAAGATGAGGAAGATTGGACCCTGAAAAAGTGGTGTCTGGAAGAGTAGGATCTGGAGGAGTGGGGCCTGGAAGAGTAAGGTCTGGAAGAGGGGGGCCTGCAAGAGGAGAGCCTGGAAGAGTAGGGCCTGGAAGAGTAAGGTCTGGAAGAGGAGGGCCTGCAAGAGTAGAGCCTGGAAGAGTAGGGCCTGGAAGAGTAGAGCCTGGAAGAGTAAGGCCTGGAAGAGCGGGGTCTGGAAGAATGGTTGTAGTAAGGCCTCTGAGCCAATACAGGGGACGGTATTGATTCTTAAACATTAGTAGGAAGCGACCGACTTTAAAATCCTGTTTTGAATTCCAGACGAAGGTGGAAGATGGTGGAGAATCTCTCTTTAGGATTTTTCTCTACCTCTCACAACCTATGCCTTTCTCTCTCTCACTCTTTACCTCTTTCTTTCTCTCTTTGCCTCTGTTTCTTTCTCTCTTTACTTTTTTAATTCCCCCTTTTCTCCCTCTTCACTTTCTCTCTCTCCTCGCCCTCTTCACTCTTCTCTTTTCTCTCACTTTCATTTACCTCTATTTTCTCTCTCTATCTCTATTATTATATATCTCACTCACTCACTCACTCACTCACTCACTCACTCTATCCTCTACTCATTCCTAAACACTATCGTTGAGCGTGAAGACAGTGCGATGCCCTTACAAAAAGATTCACCACGCGCAAGTGTCTAAAATCAATGACTCCACTGAATGACGGAACGAAGCGGAGAGTCACCCGTACGTTAGCAGTCTGAACCAAAGTGGCTGACGTACATACATACATACATACATACATATATATACATACATACATACATATATACATGTTTATTCAGTAAAATCGGCATACAAGCTCACTTTGATTGCGCCTCAATATAGCCAGTGAAAGTATCTAAATAATACATAGATAGGCCAGGTACACAAACAATGGCAAACGATTCCCTTATTATTGCACTTATTATTGACCGTATTATTGACTTATTACGAGGTGTGGATATAATACTACTTAATTAATATATTGATCCACCTTCTGTAATGGGGAATTGATGTTAGATTGAGGGATTTAGTTTATATTTGATGAGGTATTGTGGATTCAGCGACTCCTTTGTGTTGCGGGATGAAGAGTCTGAAGGAAGAAAGAATTGAAGAAAGAAGTGAAGGACCCGAAGAAAGAAGGCAAAAGGTGATATTTTGATCGAGAGTGCAGGTTGATGAGATTTCATTTATTATTATTATTATTATTATTATTATTATTATTATTATTATTATTATTATTATTATTATTATTATTATTATTATTATTATTATTATTATTATTATTATTACTATTACTATTACTATTATTATTATTATTATTATTATTATTATTATTATTATTATTATTATTATTATTTTATGTGGTGGTGGCCGTGAAAGTAAGGTTCGCGTGTCAGGGCAACAGACAGAGTTGACCTTACTGATGAAGTGATATTGAATATACTTTGTGATCATCGATTAACTCTCTCTCTCTCTTGTACTGTTTTTATTCTTAGGATACACTACAACTCTTAAGCATTCATATAAATATATTCTTTAAAGTCTATATATTTTGTTTTTATCTCCACAGTTACTTTAGACCGAAGAAGATTTATTTTTTCCAGTGTGTGTGTGTGTGTGTGTGTGTGTGTGTGTGTGTGTGTGTGACGTAGTACTAATGGTTACGCTGTACTAAGGTGCCGTGGTATAGTTAAGGGAGAAGCAACAACATCGATTGCTGGTCGTGTTTACATAATTTATGACAACAGCTTGTTAGTTTTAGTCGAACTAAACATAACCTTTTCTACTTTTGTTTATTATTATTTGTATACACACACACACACACACACACACACACACACACACACACACACACACACACATGTACTCTCTCGCACACACAAAGAAGGGGTCACTGACATTGAAATAGTTGGTGTACATACGAGATCATGGTACCACTCCTCTACATTGTATTGGTCACGCACACACACGCTGATCAAAACTGTTCACGATACATACACATGTTCTCAAAGTTACGCACATATGTTATCAGAGGTATACACACATGTTCTCAAAGTTACGCACATATGTTCTCAGACGTACGCACACATGTTCTCAGAGTTACGCACATGTTCTCAAAGTTACGCACATATGATCTCAGAGTTACGTACACAAGTCGTTTAAACAATTACATCGTAATAACGGTACACTTATGACGTAATACCTGGAGAACATCAGTCAAGGTGGCGATGATCCACACCTGTAATTAACCTGAACTTAATTCTTACTAATGATCCTCTTGATAATTAACAGCAGAAAAATGAACCATTATATTATATGCAGAGTCCCTACACATGCCCCCCCCCCCGTCTCTCTCTCTCTCTCTCTCTCTCTCTCTCTCTCTGTGAAAAAAATGGAAAAGGAAAGAATTTGAGAAGGAGTATAAGAAAAATAAAACGATAGAGTTTGAGAGAAGTGCAGTGTGGTAGAGAAAGAAAGTGAGACATTGAGAGCAAATGAAAGATAATGTTTTAGAGAGAGTACGAGAGTAGGGGAATGTGCAGAAAAGAGCGAAATTGAAAGAGGAAAAGTTTCGTGTGTGTGTGTGTAGGCGAAGGGACTGTGAAAGTATGTCAGTGACTGTGCACATGCGTAACATTATTCCGTCATGTGCACACACGGTCTTTAACCACACGCGAGGATATTCACACACTGGTGCACATCAACGCACATGAGGTTCTACACGAACACCCTGCAGGCTGCTAACACCTTCACTTACTGACACACACACACACACACACACACACACACACACACACACACACACACACACACACACACACACACACACACACACACACACACACACACACACACACACACACACACACACCAGACGCATCATGCCTATCATCAACTCCTACCTATCATGTTTGAAGACGATCCCTTCTCCTCCCCTTCAGGATTCACCACGATGGGACACACTACAGACACAGAGCCCGCTATCATGGGATAAAAAGTAACGATTCTCACTCTGTCTTAGTGTTGCCAGAGACAGCTTAGTGTTGCCAGAGAGATAGTTTAGTGTTACCTGAGAGACCTCTTAGTGTTGCCAGAGAGACAGTTGAGTGTTGCCAGAGAGACATTTTAGTGGTGCCTGAGACAGCTTAGTGTTACCAGAGAGAGATAGTTTAGTGTTACCAGAGAGAGACAGTTTAGTGTTACCACAAAGACAGTTTAGTGTTGCCAGAGACAGTTGAGTGTTGCCAGAAAGACAGTTTAGTGTTACCAGAGAGACAGCTTAGTGTTGCCAGAGACAGCTTAGTGTTGCCAGAGAGATATAGTTTATAGTTTCAGGATAAAATATTTGCCCGGTCGATGTTTAAAGAGGGAAGGTTGTCAGGAGCACAGTGGCAGGACGTAGTGATGTCAGGAGCACAGTGGCAGGACGTAGTGTTGTCAGGAGCACAGTGGCTGGACGTAGTGTTGTCAGGAGCACAGTGGCAGGACGTAGTGTTGTCAGGAGCACAGTGGCTGGACGTAATGTTGTCAGGGCACAGTGGCTGGACGTAGTGTTGTCAGGAGCACAGTGGCAGGACGTAGTGTTGTCAGGAGCACAGTGGCTGGACGTGTTGTCAGTAGTGTGTTGTCAGGAGCGCAGTGGTTGTCAGGAGCGCAGTGGCAGGACGCAGTGTTGTCAAGAGCACAGAGGCTGGACGTAGTGATGTCAGGAGCACAGTGGCTGGACGTAGTGATGTCAGGAGCACAGTGGCAGGACGTAGTGTTGTCAGGAGCACAGTGGCTGGACGTAGTGTTGTCAGGAGGACAGTGGCTGGACGTAGTGATCCAGTGAGACTCGTGACCCAGTCTGGTGATAAAATCCATGTGGGGTGGCTGACAGTGTGGCTGACAGTGTGGTCGTTAGTGTGGTTAGCAATGTGGCTAACAGTGTGGTTAGCAGTGTGGTATAGTGTGACAGTCTGTTTTTGAAAGAGAGAGAGAGAGAGAGAGAGAGAGAGAGAGAGAGAGAGAGAGAGATACAACAACATTACTATGGTTCAATAATAATTAATCACTTAACCTGAATAAACACAACTTAAAGGTTAATTATTTTAATATATTCCACTTTGCGCTAGTTAAGGGTAGGTTAAGTTAGGTCCTGGGATAGGTTAGGTTGGCCTTGGCTAGGTTAGGTTAGGTTTTGAGTTTGGGTAGATTAAGTTAGGTGTAGTGTAGTTAAATTGGTTAAATTAAGTTAAGTTACATTCCGGATCGAAATCCCGTTAAGGAAATTAATGGTTCCCGGATAATTATAATAATTAATGGCAAAATAAATATCAAGGAAGAAGAGAAATTGAAGGAAATAATGGCCACGATCACCTGTATTTGTATCACCAACACTTTCTAAGTCACCAATGTTATTTCTTCAAGATCATCAAAATTTTAAAGGTCACCATTATTTTCTAACTCAATATTATTATTTCATCAACATCACCAGCAGTGTTTAGCTACCCAGTATTCTTCCTTCACGGTAAACATCATTTGTCTAGATCACCAGCAGTGTTTCCATAAGGTTACGAACATTTATAACATCAAGCAGTTATTAGTTCAGTGTTTATTATTTTTTTTTCACTGCTATGAACATCATCATCGATCACCAGAACTGTTTCTACATGGTCACCAAAATATTTATGAAGATCGCCAGTATTATTTCTTGAAAGTCACCAGATTTTCCATCACCAATACTATTATTTCAGGATCATCACTTTTTTTTCCCTTTACGATCACCAGCATTTGTCTTCGATCACCAATATTAAAATCACTAAAATTTAACTAAATCACCAATACTATTATCACTGGGTCACCACAAGACAGGATATAGGTAAATATACAGGTACAAGTTCAGGTACAGATACAAGATAGGTAAAAATACAAGTACAGGCACAAACACCACCATATCCAAGTACAGTACAGGTTAATTATACAGGTACAGATACAAACACAAGACCAAACTGAGGAAAAATCTACAAGTCCTGACACAGGTAAATCTACAAGTCCAGACACAGGTAAATCTACAAGTACAGACACAGTTAAATCTACAAGTCCAGACACAGGTAAATCTACAAGTACAGACACAGGTAAATCTACAAGTACAGACACAGGTAAATCTACAAGTACAGACACAGGTAAATCTACAAGTCCAGACACAGGTAAATCTACAAGTACAGACACAGGTAAATCTACAAGTCCAGACACAGGTAAATCTACAAGTACAGACACAGGTAAATCTACAAGTACAGACACAGGTACACAAATAACAGGTACACAGAATAAGGAATGCGGTTGTTCTTTTTCACTAACATGACAACGCTGTAAGAAAAACCTGATAAACGTTTTAGGCTGTAAATGAATTGTGCCTAAATAACCAGTTGACTCGGTAAAATAAGTGTTATCAAGCTGTAATGAGAAGTAATTGGTGGCGAGGTTACAAAATGACACGTGATTTACAGTGTGCCAGAGGGCTGTGGTTTCCAAGTAATGAACCGTGATTTACATAACAGTGTACAGCAAAATCTCTGTTGGGCTGAAAATAAATATGTTTTTTTATTTAATTCCATTTGAAATGTGAATTTAATAGCTGTAGATTATTAAGTTGTGTGTGTGTGTGTGTGTGCGCGCGCTTGTGTGTGCATGTGTGTTTATGTAAGAGTCTGTGTGTTTGTGTGCATGTGTAGGAGTGTGTGTGTTTGTATTTATGTGTGTATGTGTATGTTGCTTTCTGTATCTTCGTGTGTATGAAAACGCTCGTGTACTCTTGATTGTACATATTATGCACGTTATAAAGAGGAACCGTCTGGTGAACTGAACCCGTCTTCCATATATAAACACACAGCTTATAATAAATCTCTGCCATAACCAAAATATATAACTTACTGTATGTCCCTATAACCTCGACTCGTCTTACCGTTTCTTGCTAATTTTCTTGTAGTCTATGTATCTGTATATTTATTTATTTAATGTTGATTTTAGCGAATATAGAACTAATGTATCAATATTTGTATGTCATTAACTTAGAGAAACGACAGCGCAGGTACACACAGATTCAATAGCAGTAATGTCACAGCGACTCTCTTAATGATGTAATCTAATTTACGTTTGTCATAGCTGTCATCGCCATCATCAGCGATTTCAGTACGAATATCGTTAATGTAGCTAACGTTTTCACTAAGGTTTCCAGCAACAGCTGACAAAATTATCGTCTCAACGTTGGCAGCTGTAAACGTTCCGGCCGCCCTGCCGTCAATCGATGGGTGTGTGTCAAGCAGGGAGGGAGAGGTTCACGTGGCTTACTACAGAGTTGGTCACGCAGACAACCTCATGATCACACAACACCTGGGGGATTATTGGTCGAGCACAGCAGTCACCAGAGTTTAAGGGTGGTGAAGGGTGAACAGGACACGAAAATGGCGACATATATTTGTATGGCAGACCAAGGTATATCGGAGATCATACATTAGGTGGTACTGTGTCACACTGGTCACAGGGAGGTGATGTAAGTGTATATATAACATCTAAGACACAGATTCAGGACGAGTTATCCAAATATTGGTCGATGCTCAGATTATCATATAAATTTGGGGAGACATTGTATCAAGAATGTACGAGATTCTAACAAACTTTTCCTTCAAATAATTGGTACTTTTATGTCACACACAGATTTCGGGACATTTTCCATCAGAGGTTGACTCATAGTGTATGACACACTACTGGGTGTCAGCTGAGTGAGGGCACAGGAGAAAGGATCTACACTAATAATAGTCAATATACGGATTTACGACGATGTATGACACTCTCGATGAATCACGTGATATATTAAAGATCATCTGCTACAATGGTCACTCACTTGGCTCATGGATACAGGCAAGAGAAGCGGTGTGTTCTCTTGTCGTAATCAGAGTATACATTTAAGGCTCTTTTATCAAACGATGTGTAATGTTCGATGTGTCGCGTGGATCACTGGGTGTATTAAACAGATGAGGTGAAGACCATGTTGTTCTGGGGGACGTTATGAGGGCCTGACAGTAGTCGTCTGCTCCCCCTCACCCATTCGCCTCTAACCCTCTCCCCTTACTCCTTCGTCACACTGGAGGGTTTGAAGAAAATGGCTGAGGGGCCTCATCCCCTCCCTTAGTGGTCACTACAGAGCGTCACTTCTCATGACACGCAAAAATGACCGTCAAAAACCCAACCTACTGCCCCTCCACATCGACCTCACCACCACCAGTGGGGCTCGGTCTTCGTCAATATCACTCCTCACTTCTCCCTCTACAGTACATCACTTGTAGTCATCTTACACGAATATGAGTCTCCGGGTAGATCCGATGTTAATTGGACAGGTATTTCCCCCCTCACTCTTTCCCCTCAACTTACCTGTGCGCACCTGGTGGGTCACCTGACGTCGGCGAGTCGACCAGCTGACTGTCGGCCCGACGCCCGCCTCAGCTTTCACCAGCTAGTTGCCAGCGGCCGCAACTTGTTCTGTCTGCCTATTCGCGTGCCAACGGCTCGCGTCGATGTTGTTGTTTTTTTTTGCAGGAAGCTGAACATGAAATTCCTATAAGCAACATGACTCAATTTTACATTAGCTGCATTTCGAAAATCCAAGCTTAAAAATATCTTGAGTGTCACGGAATTAATCGTGTTAAAGAAGTAACAACAAAAATCATGTTAAATAAGACGCCAGTGTCGACAGTGTTGTTCATCCTGGAACCATGACTCACAGGCTCTCGGGGGGACGTGTAAAACTCACAGCTCTTAATTCACAGTTTGTACGGCCTATCACAGAATCATTTCCTCTTGGGTAATACAAAATAAACCTTTTATTGGTGTTGTGGCAGTAGACCAAGAGATCCATATAGTGAAGGCCTTCAATGAATATCACAAGCATGAAATTATTATTAAGAGTTATATTATATACTTACTAGTAATAACATCATACACGCGTTAACTAGCAGCAGCGTCGGGTAAATATTCTTTTGTGTTCTAGTCCACACTGTTGGCCGCACATGTCAACATTGTTTGTAATGATGGCAAATGTGTTTGCAGTAGTGAGCACGAGAAGTAAGAACCACCTTCAATATATTAATTGGAATATTGATTGACCCGCTCACGCCGGCATGTTATTTACGTCGTTGCCATGGTGAAAATCACACACGTCTCCGTTTTCTCCTGTTTACACCTACACAGACGGATGTTATATGGATGAACGAACTATAATCTTTACCAATTCTAAAACAATCTATATTTTGAGTAACTTGGTTTTGATTTTGTAATATATTTTGTTCTCATATGTGTATTAAGTCTAGCTTTTTCACTTATATTTATACGTTTAGGGTTGAAATGCTGGTTTTCTGTGCTTGTGCATGAGAGAAAACGGGTCATGCACTGAGCTAGAACACCACCGCGCGCGTTCCTTCAAGTCTTCAGTCGCTCACGTCATGTGGTATGAGTCTCATGGACCGATATAGTCTCTGTTAATTTCATCTGGATATTTGATGAATAGCTGGTGATATTTTGGATCTAGGAGCAAGACAAGATGAAGACAGACCTGAACGTGATATAACCCATAAAGACACTGTTGGTGTTGAAGTTTAAAAGTGATTCATCGGCATCGTGAAGTGTTGACAGAAGTTTGATTCATTCAGTAACTTGTTTCGTTGTATATACTGACGCATCTTGGAAATATGAAGTGGAGTTTAGGAAAACATCTCTATACACTGTACAAAGATGAACCTTATAAAAGAGAAATTGTTCTGTGTGTGACATAAACGTACCAATTGTTTGAGGGAAAAGTTTGTCAGATATCGCGTACATTCTTGATACTGTGTTAACCTAGAGAGAGAGTGTAAAGTTGATTCATCGTTTCACCGCCGAATCTGCGCACTATACACACTTTTTACCTTATAACTAAAAGTGACTGGATCTTTATTCCTGTAAGATCTGTGTGTATTGTGGATATTCCGAGGACTTTGTACTTTATTACTACACTTAGTATTCTACGATCTCCGCCCACATTTGCTCAGTGTCTTGTCCTCCTCCCACGCCCGCCCGTACCCCACATCTCCCTCCCATCCATACCCACTTTTATCCTACCTTTGTTAACTCAACACTTACAATTTCTGCAAACTCTTCACACCTTCTCACCTTCACCTATTTCTTCCTCCTTTTCTTCATCTACGTCTCTTTCCTCTCACCCACACTTACCTAACCACCTCTACCCACACCACCCACCGCCTACTACTCCAAACGGACCCACACCACCTTCTACCCACGCCCCACAGACGGCATGGGCTGTGGCGAGAGTAAAGAACTAAAACCGATCACGGTGATAGACGCACAAAAGAAATTAGAGTCGTCGCTTGAAGGTCTAGAGGTAGTAAGGTTGACCTCCTCGGCTTCCTCCTCCTCCGGAATGGGGTCCGCTGCGTCCTCCAAACCCATCACGCCCCAGGATGAGGTCCTTCACAACCAGGAGTCCAAGGCGAGTCTCGGAGATCTTCCATCCACCCTCGAAAACATCCCGGACAATGATTTGGGGGTAAGTGATCTGTTGGTCATTGTAATGTGAGAGGCGGTAAAGCAAGGAGGTAGAAACAGGACGCTAAAGATAGGAGACAAGAACAGGGCGCTAAAGATAGGAGACAAGAACAGGGCGCTAAAGATAGGAGACAAGAACAGGGCGCTAAAGATAGGAGACAAGAACAGGGCGCTAAAGATAGGAGTCAAGAACAGGGCGCTAAAGATAGGAGCCAAAAACAGAGCGCCAAAGATAGGTGATGAAGGAGGAGAATGAAAATGTTGGGAATAAATAGTAAAGAAAGATAATAATAAATAAAACTAGAAATAAAACCGATGCTAAAATAATATAATCAAAGGCCGAATAAAGGAAATGAAGAAGAATTAACAAAAGCGACGAGAATGAGAGATTAAAAGTACTAAAAAAGGGAAGTGATAAAAATGAATAAATCAGTGAATGAAATATTAAAAGGGGGGGATAGAATTGATAAAAGATTAGACTCAACTGTTAAAGGAGGATATATGGAAGGAACTTATCGTATATACCCACAGTGGAGAGATGTGAAGAAGGTCAGGTGTATGTTGAGCACATACCTGACCACCCCGAGGCTGGAATGTGTTCACCAGCTACTGTACGCCTCAACAAGTATAGAGACATACTGTACCATACTATTGCTTGTCTAACCTAACCTAAAGTAACCTAACCTAACCTAAAGTAACCTAACCTAACCTAAAGTAACCTAACCTAAAGCAACCTAACCTAACCAAACCTAAAGTAACCTAACCTAACCTAAAGTAACCTAACCTAACCTAACCTAAAGTAACCTAACCTAACCTAACCTAACCTAACCTAAAGCAACCTAACCTAACCAAACCTAACCTAACCTAACCTAACCTAAAGTAACCTAACCTAACCCTGTACACTGGCTGCTTTACTGTACACATACCGTAAACGTGTCACAAAGTTCTTAGAAACAATTATGACGTCATCACTCAGTTTTTTCATATTTGATCAGTAGCGTCAGCCACTCTATGATGACGTCAGCACTTGAGTATCTGATCAATGACGTCATCAGGAAAATAATATCTAAGTATAGATGATCGTTGTTTTCTTTTAGGTTCTTTTCTGATCAGGACTGATGAAGTGATTCAGTAAATAAACTGTATAAACACGTTGTTGATGACATCATTCAATAATTATTGTTAACGCGTATTTGATGACGTCATTCAGGTGCTAAATGACGTCACCATGTATATGTCTAAACATGTGGCTTGTGACGTCATCCAGCAAGTACTTAATCACATAGTCGATGACGATCAACCATTCGTGACACTGTACTGTTAGTGTAGCGCGCTGTAGTACCAACTGATTAGTACCTGCGTAGTAACTGCTCAATATCTGCCCAGTACCTGCTCAATACCTGCCCAGTACCTGCTCAATACCTGTCCAGTACCTGCTCATTACCTGCTCAACACCTCAAAACCTGCAAAATACCTGCTCAATACCTGTTCAGTACCTGTTCAATACCTGCTCAATACCTACCCAGTACCTACTCATTATCTCCTCAGTACCTGTCTAGTACCTGCTCAATAACCTACCCAATACCTGCTCAATACCTCTTCAATACCTGCCTAGTACCTGCTCAATACCTCCTCAGTACCTGCTCAATACCTCCTCAGTACCTGCTCAATACCTGCCTAGTACCTGCTCAATACCTCCTCAGTACCTGTCTAGTACCTGTTTAATACCTGCTCAATACCTCCTCATTACCTACCCAATACTTGGCCAGTACCTTCCTAATACCTACCTGGTGCCCAAGAGGTGACGCAGGTGTGAACAGGTATAATAGGTGAGGGGAAGGACAGGTTCAAGTTCATCTTCAATATATCGACTTGTTGAAACTCTTTTAACACTTAGGTTGATGATGATGGCCACACGACTAACAAGAAAGGATTTAATATTCCCCTCACTATGTTCCTAACTACCTGGTGAACTGTTGATTATTATTTATTATTATTATTATTATTATTTATTATTATTGTTATTATTATTATTGTTGTTATTATTATTATTATTATTATTATTATTATTATTATTATTGTTGTTATTATTATTATTATTATTATTATTATTATTATTATTATTATTATTATTATTATTATTATTATTATTATTATTATTACACCTTCCTAATTACTCCCTTCTACCTGTCAGAGATAAACAACAGAGGTCCACTACTGCCCAAACCATCCTAGTTATTTAGTTGTCAGTGACCCATAACCAACCCAGCGATCACTCTATATATGTTAGCCAGATATTACATTCCTCACCCGCCGACTTGACACCATTTACACCTGAGTTCCTGGGTGAGACACGGGGAGGCAGGTGGGTGAGTGAGGGAGGATGGATGTAGGCCGCTCGATCATCACCAAGATGCATCACCTCCCAACATGCCAATCCTCGTCATTCACAACAGTCGTAACTACTGACAGAAGACAAGCGATTGGCCGCCTGGCGTAACTTTTTTTCACCGCGACATAACTCCTACAAGATGGATGAAATTTCGAGGGGGCTATTATTAGCTTGTATAAACGCCACTGCTGGTAGATGGTGGGAGAACGTTAGCCTGGCGTACATAGTGTCTGTGTGAGTGTTAGGTTGTAAATGATGTTGGTGGTGTTATTAAAATAACGTCACTGTGGGCAAGTGTTCGTCTGGCGTAGTTTCCATGTGTCATTCATTAAGAGGTGGAATCTATGGTCGACGATCGCTTGCTTGTCTTTGTCGTAACTCTTCAAGACGTAACAGGATGAAGGAAGGTACATGGCGCTGTTGACCTCCCCGCACCACCTTTGATTTTTATGGTATGAACTTGTGATATAACTCCCGCATTCGTGGTGGTGATTGGCTTGATCCTTGCCAAGTTTCTAGTTAATGGCCAATCAGCGACGAGGCTTTATATCCGTCTAATAGTAATTTTTTACACACCGTGGCTTAGAGTCCTAGACCGATCGTTGTCAGGGCATCGCTAAATTGGTTCTTTAGGATTATCAGCTAAAAGTGCATGTTTCCGCTAGTCTGTTCTTAAACTAGGGTAACAGGGCGGACATACTGTACATGGAGCAAGTTTGAATAATTTCGTATTGGTTCCAAGTAAGTTAAAGGTTACAACTGAATGCCATAAGACCTAACCCAACACAACCCAACCCAACCCAACCCAACCCAACCTAACCTAACCTAACCTTATGTACCTTTAACTAAACATAACCGAATTAAAACCTAACCTAACATCACGTAACCCCTAACCAGAGCAAACCGAACTAAACCTAACTTAACCCACTTTTAACCTAACCTAACCAGTGTTATCTTGACCCCCTTTGATAGCTGTCTTCTCTTTTCGCCTCTCTGTTCAATGTTTTAATATGTTAACTTAAATCACGTCTGAATATTTATCGTTGATGAGATTACGGTCAGCATGCAAATTTGAGTTATCGTTTTGGGAGGTTGTTCATGAATATTTAATGTATGTATGTATATAATCGTATACATAATAGTTCGCAAAGGCTATAAGATCATGCTAGCTATGAATAACAAATGATTCTCTCTCTCTCTCTCTCTCTCTCTCTCTCTCTCTCTCTCTCTCTCTCTCTCTCTCTCTCTCTCTCTCTCTCTCTCTCTCTCTCTCTCTCTCCTCTCCACTAACAATCCATTTCTCTTTGTCTGTCTGTCTGCCACCGATGTATTCTGAATATTGACTGAGAAGATGCGACCATTTCAAGATCATCATTTTCTTAAGAATTGCAATCTTCAGTCTCAGTATGCAAAGCGGTGGGTTGTTGCAGAGTTTTAAAGATGGGTTTTGTGAGTTGATTTACTAAACTAATTATTATTATTATTATTATTATTATTATTATTATTATTATTATTATTATTATTATTATTATAGAAATGGAACAGTGTCTGCCTTGTGGGATTGTAAAATGGACATACATACATACATATACATACATACATATACATACATACATACATACATACATACATACATACATACATACATACATACATACATACATATATACATACAAAAAGGCTGATATGTTCTTGTCGTAATGTATGAGTCAAAATACACCTTGACTTAACCTACCTTAACACAACTTAACTCATATTCACCTAATATGATCCATTTTATCTTACTTTGACCCAACTTAATCGAACTTAACCATGTAGTACTGGAGACCATTAGTATTTGACCTCAGTACTAATTTTTGGTTAGGTTGTGAACTATCAAGAGAGGTGACTGTGTTTTCATTAGGAGTGACCCCATATGACCTAAGATCGCCTCCCCCTCCCCTCCCCCAGAGCCAGCCAATGACCTTAGCACGATGACCTGGCCCTCGCGTGTCCACCAGCTGGGTCAACATTCTGGTGATGACCTTCTGCTCATTCTCATGTTTATTATTGTAGTTTCCGCAGTCCGCCCCCCTCCTCCTTCCTCTCCTTCCCCACCCTTTCACCTTTCTTACCAACCTCATCACTCTCCCTTTGCTCATCCACCATCCTCTCCCTTTCCCCAACCCTCCCCCCACCCTCCTCCCCCTCCTTCCCTCCTTCCTCTCCAACCTCATCACCAAACCACCATCCTTTTTTCAGGATAAGACATATGACTCCCCAACCCCCCCCATCATCTTCTCCACCATCACCACCTCGCCTCCAACACCCCCTCCCCCAACACCATCACCTTCGTCAGGATAACACATGACCTCGCCAAGTCCATTATTCCCGGTATTGTGGCCACAGAGTCAACAAGGGAACGTGAATAGCCGCCTGGACCACCAAGACAGAATGCCTTCCTCAGCACACACGGAGGGTCAGAGTTCGTTGCCCTGGTGTAGGAGAGAGAGTCGCCCTGGTGTAGGAGAAAGAGTCGACCTGGTGTAGGAGAAAGAGTCGACCTGGTGTAGGATAGAGAGTCGATCTGGTGTAGGAGAAAGAGCTCGACCTGGTGTAGGAGAGAGAGT